GCTGCACTCCAGTCTGGACGACAGAGTGAGACACCAATTCAAAAAAGAAAGAAAGAAAATGTGAGGCCCCTTGTTAAAACATTATTAAGAATATTAAGATGGTGAAGGCAGAGTCATGTGCCAGGTCTTTCCCAGTGTAAGAATCCAGCTGGTTCTGGCCAAGGGGCTTCCCCGGAGCAGGGCCTCCATGGCTGCAGGGTGAGATAGCCTTGTTTGTCACTCCAGAATCAGGTCTTGGGGCTGCTGGGCGGGCTGATGTCTGCTTCCCCCAGGTAAGACCCTTCCCTTCTGCTGGGAACCGCACCTACTCACCTGCTCAACAGGCCCTGGCAAGGGTAGTAACAATAATCAAAATAATAATAATAAAAGAGCAAGCCCCAAAAACATTGGAAGAACTAAGGACTCAGAGAAGCCAAGTGGCTTGCCCAGGGTCCAGCAGGAAGCACATGGGAAGACTGTTTGTCTGTCTCCAGAGCCGTGGGGCTTCAGCAAGGATGCAGAGCCAGGCCCACAGAAGGGTGATGGGGTCCTGAGGGGCGTCCTTCCATGCTTCTAGTGGGAGGCCTTCGGGCCAACTTTGCAGCGGGACCAGAGAGCACGACAGCAAGGGCTGCCGTGGGAGTCAGGGAGGGCTTCTGAAGGAGGAGCCCTGGAGCACCATGGGAGGTAATGCAGAGGGCAAGGACAGTGAGGGCCAAGGCCCAAGTGGGCCTGGAATGTGCAAGGGGCAGAAGGGAAGCTGGGGTGACCAGAGTAAGGGACAGGGCGGACGTGGCCTCCAGTGCCAGACTGAGGAATGTGGTCTGAAAGGTGCTCGGGGTCCACACGGATGAGACGGAGGCTCAGGGTAAAGCCATGTGCCCTGGGTCACCCCAGCGAGCAGAGCCAACTTAAACCCGGTCCATCTTGGGACAAAGTAGAATGAAGCTGCAGGACTGGGTGGGGGAAAGGAGCAGCTCAGAGTGAAGCCAAAGAGTGCCCCCCCGGCCCCCCACAGCCCAGCCCAGCTCCTGGGAAACATCAGAGGTGTGCATGTTGGAGCTGGGGGAGAGGAATCTGGCAGGCTTGAAGGCAGCTTCTTCCTCCACCTTCATCTTGTGACAGCTCTGGCTGCGCCCGTAGGAGGGTGGGGGAGGAAGCGCAGGGCAGGAGGATCATCCATTCCTCTCTCTGCCTTCTGTCCCAAAGCTTTAGCCTCTGGCAGCCGCCTGGAACATGTCTTTGTCGAACTAGTCATGAGCATGTTGACAGGGGGCTTCACGGGCAGGGGGCCATCCAGGCTGGGAGCCTGGGGGTGGGGCACAGCCACAGCTCTGGGTGTTAGGGGGTAAGTGTCAGCTGGGGCCTGAGAGGAAGGATGCAGGCGGAGCGGGCCCATCCTGCTGTGTGTGCCGGGGCCTTTTGCTCTCCCTAGCTTCAGCACCTGGATGAGAGAAACTTCGAGGCCCTGGGGTCTCCCCACCAGACCCAGAAGGGCTGAGGTGCCCTGGTCCGAAGGGAGCCGGGCCTTGCACTCCCAAAACGCTTCCAGGAAGGGGCAAGGAGGGCCCCCAGCAATGCAAGGGGCTCCTTTGGAGGCAAAGCCCTCAGGCCGGGGAGCCCATGCCAGACCTGCCCTGCTCCAGACCCACCTGCTCCTCTCCGCCCTCAACCTCTGCCTGCCAGGCCACCAGTACTGCTCACGAGCAGCCTCACACCTCCAAACTCAACACCAACCTCAGCGGCTTTGAAAACTTGAACACAGGCGCCTGCCACCCTGTCCCAAGCCATGTGATGGCTCGCCGGTGCTCGGGGCACTCAGACTGCTCCTCACAAGGCTATGAGCTCCCACTGTGCCTCAGCGCCATGGCCTGGCTCCCTCTCGCATGCTGTCTCCCGGCCTCTGCCCACCCCGGAGCCCCCTTGCTCCCTCAGTTGGCATGCGAGGGCCCACACCGGGTGAAGGCACAGCCCCGCCTCCCAGAACACTCTCCCCTGGGCTGAATCTGGACATCGACGGACTGGTCCATTTCCTCCCTGAAGGCTGTTGGACAGTGAGGGCCACAGCTCTGCCTGGGTCCCATGCTACAAAGGCGTAGAGGTGGACCTTGGAGCGAGGTGGGAGTCAGTCACAGCTGTGGATCCCAAACTTATCAACCCCTGGCAAAGTGCCTGTGCGTCTTTCTGCCCCCAGGCCCCAGTTCATCCCTCTGGACAAGGGAGAGAGCAGCAAGGAGGGCCGCCGGGGGCCGTGGAAGCATCTGAGGAGCTCGGCTCAGCCGCTCTCACGAGGGAACTGGGGGCTGCGACTCCGGGGCCCCTGGGGGGATGGGGGTTGCTCGAGGACGGGGGAGTGACGAGCCAGGCCGGTGAATCA